GGCTCATGGAGCTGGCCAAACACCATCTCTGTGAATGACCAGGGCTCTGCACCCCTCCTCCCTGCTCTCCGTCAGTTGGGACAGTTGACTCACCGTCCCAAAGGAGTCAGATGAGCTGTCTATGCAAAACAAGGCCCGGAGGTGGCCACTCATGCCCAAGGCTGGCTAGGTCTGCCTCACCTGTGACCTCTACGCTCATCCTTGATCTCCTGCGGCCCCTACCTCATTTCTGTGTTTAGAAATGAGACTAGAAATAGAAAGTTCCAGAACTGATTAGCCAAAGGACAAGACTGCAATGTAAATAAGTCACCTTTGTCACTCCTAGGAAGGACAGAGGCTGAAGACAGGTAATCTGAGGCCCAGGAGTGAGCATGCTTCCTAACTGTCAGGTGACCATTGAGGCTGAGGCCCTGGGTCATGGGCTTGTAAGGCCTTTGTGTGAACTTCTCAGAACTCCTAGGCTGAACAGACACCAGGTCCAGGCCATCTGAGAGGACAAACACAGGTGCATTTGGGGGGGGTGATTCTTTTTCTGCTCCCATATGTGGTCTCTCTGACCGCCCCCCCCCACTTTTTTTTTAATTGAAAAGAGAGAGAAACCAAAAATATGAAAATAAAAAGCAAAAGTTAAAAAAAAATGACCTCCCTAAAATAGTTTGGGGATTTACTGGGTTTTTTTTTATTTTTTAAATGTTTTCCTCCAATCCTCAGAAAGTCCCTCCTGCTGCCTGGTTTCTAACACAGACATTCAACCCAGGTGACATCAGGTTGGACAGCACCGGGTGTCTCACCGCCAAGGGCTCCCAGGCAGGTGTGAGACTGACAGGTTGAGAGAAGATGACACTGTTTCTTTCCTCGGAAGATGAAAACCGAGCAGGAGAGATGTCAGCAGAGGCTGCGCTCTGGGTGTGTTGGGAAATCGGACACCCTGCCAGGCGCTGGCCTTTGGGGTGAACCCCACTTTCTCTGAGCTCTGGTTACTTCTCCTGTCTCTCAGGTGTCAGCCAAACTCGCCCCTGGGGCTCGGAAATCTGCGGCAGGGGCTGTTGCACCTCCACAGAGCCCCCCGGACTTTCCAACGTGCAGCTTGAGGTGTGTGCACAGCCTGACTTCCCCTGGTGCACGTCTTGCACAAAGCATCTCAGGCAGGGGCTTGCCAAGCTACGGCAGCAGCGAGGGTCCACATGCCGGGGACAGAGACTCCACCCGGCTCTGGCTCAAGGGACCCTGTGAGTCATTAGGCCTTGACCAGTGACCATGATGTCCCAGGGTGAAGTGGGAGGCCTGGGGATGTGCCCTCTGCTGCAGGGCCACCAACCAGGGTGACTCACAGTTGGACCCCGAGGGGAAGTTCCGTCTGGCGTCCTCTGGATGGCTCTGGTCCCCGGGTGAGATCATCCCCGCTGCTGCAGACACTCAGAACTGGGACTCGCTTCTTTCCCAATGGAGCCCAGACTTTTCACTCTCAATTACCATCAGGGCAGAAGCCATCCTCTGGGCCGCGGCTCCCTGCCCTCCCCGCCACACGCCACATGATGGATGGCGCCGAGGAAAGCGTGCCTCCTCCCTGGACGTCAGATTTTTCATCAGTAAAAAATATGTCTTCCTCCTGCTGATGTCACTCAGGAGCCCGCTGGGCTCCAAGGTAGTGAGTGTGACCGATCTTTGAAAGGAAATATGCAAAATCTGTGCATAGGAGCAACACCATCACACTGCTGTTTACAACTCTTGCTCCGGGGACTGAGAACCGGACATCAGGATACCATCTTGCCCCATCTTCCTGGGCCACGGGTCTGGCAGAAGTGCGAGCCGCAGGGTGGGAAAGTGTCCCCAGACACTCTCAACCTAGGCAGACACACCCAAGTAAAGACTCTCTGGCTCCCACTGCCCCTTTCTTTCTCTAAGTTTTTCTAACAAAGTGCGCATACAGCAGGCCCTCAGTTGACTCTTCTGTCATGTGCAGGAGCAACAGAGAAGTCCCCAAGGAAGGACACCAGACTTTCAATCCCTTATGGGCTCAGTTTTCAGGTCACACACAATCACAAGACCTTTGCTAGCAACCTCCAGGACTGGGTCTTCCTGGACACAGTCTTCCTGGACACATTCTAAGAACACAGGGGATCAGATGCGAGCTCTGGGGCACCCGCACGCAGCCTGGCCCTCCTTGGTGACTGTGGATGCAGGTTGGTCGAGACACAAGAGGAACCTTGGCAAGGCCACTTATCTCGGCCACTCTCCATCTGTGCTCCTGGGGAAGGAAGCGGAGAGGAAGTCCCAAGGGGGGCAAGCCAGTAAGGACAAGAGCTCTGAGGGACCACACAGGATGATGTCACTGTCATGACTCCCCTGAGCCCACCCAGCCCCCCTCACCACCCCAACATAACTGGCAAGGGAGGTGGGTTCTCTCTCTCTCTCTCTCTCTCTCTCTCTGTCTCTCTCTCTCTCTCTGTTTTTCTGTGCCCTTTTGCTGTCCCTTTCATTCTCATTCTTTGCTGCTGGGTCTGCAACACACCCTTGTGACCCCAGGTGGCTCTGCGGGTGTAGGAGTAGGAGGAGAAGGACCCTCACAGCAAGCCTCAGCCACGGTGCAGGAGGCTCTCCCAAACACACAGTCGTGGCCACCGAGGATCAAGCCGAGATGTGGTTGTGGCTTTTCAGCTCATCTCCACCGTCACCGTCATTCGGTTTCCACGTGCATGGGATGGGACGAGAGAGCAATGGGCATGCCCAGTGCCCCTCCTGTCTGGACCCCCTGCCCTCCCCACCTGTCGTCTGGGCTTCTACAGCCGCCCCTGCAAAGGGGCCTGTGAACAGAAAGTCCCACACAGCCCACTGGGTCAAGATGCTCCTTCTCCCTGGCTTCCTGGAAGAAGAGCCTGGGCTCCAGGCCCCTCCCTGCGCCCCTCCCACACTTCCCAGTCCCACTCCTGCTGGGCTTCCTCGGCACTTCCTCCCAGACTTCCTCCAAGTCCCATCTCCACCCCGTGCTGCCCCTTGCTCGCCGCCCCCACATATTGAGCTTCTCTCCTGCTTCTCCTCCACTGTGTGCTGCTACCCCATCACCTTCCTGGGCACTAGAGCCTTTACCGAGGGACCGTTTTCTCCTGGCTGCCATCTCTCCTGCTCTACCAGAAGGCAGGTTCCATAAAGCAGGCTGGTGTCCACTTTGCTCAGCCCTCTGCCTGGAGCATCCCAGCAGCCGCAGGCCCCTGAGGAATATCCCTTAGGTGATGAAGGAATGGGTGGGAGGAAGGGGCTGCATCTTGGAATGAACCGGCACCAGGTTGGGGTCCTCTGGGGAGGAAGGCTGAGGGCTGGCGGAGGTGGAAGGTGCTGTTGTTCAGAAGGTGTCTGGTCCTGGGGTGGGATTCGAGCAGAGGGAGTGAGGATGGATGGTGGCTGGAGGGCCATGACAGGTTTCTTAAAATGAGAAAGTGATATGTCGAATGTTGGGCTGAAGAAAGAGGCTTAGGGAAGGTGTAAAGAGGGTTCATTGGAGGGAGGAAAGTCTGCAAGTCCAAGGTTGGAGCCCTGGTGGGCACCCCAGCTGTCCACAAAAGCCGAGAGCAGACGGGGAGGGAGGAGGGCTGCATGGGACACTGCTAGAAACCATCAGGACTTGGTGTGGTAGTGGAGGGGACCCACTGGCAGCCTTCCTTGTCGCTGGTCTGTGTGGACTAAGATGGCAATAAGTGAGGACAGGAACTAATAGACAGGGCATCTGCGATGACCCACACGTGTGTGTTATTTCACTCGGCATCAGGATTCCCCTAAGGATAGGGAATGAGCATCACTGTGATATAGAGGAGGAAACTGAGGCTTAGAGATTTATCCAAAAGAAAGAAAGAAAGAAAGAAGAGAAATTTATCTAAGATCATCTCCGGAACCACCAAGATAGAAAGCAAAACAGAAAGCGCTGACATTTTTGGAATGCGTAGAATGTCCCAGGCACTGGGCTGGTCACTAACTGCACTGTCTCTCATTTCATTTCACAACACAGAAGGGACTCTCTTTGCTATCTCCGTTTTACAGATGGGGAAGCCAGAATCCAGAGAAGGGAAGGTCACCAGGCCTGGTCACAAAGCGAGGAAGATGGAGAAGTCAGGGTCCATGCTCCTCACCCTATGCTAGACCAGTGGGGACAAATCGGCTACGTACCCACTTTGCTCCAAACCCCTGATTGGCATTCACAGCACTTCCTTTCCCAGGCTCAGTAGGGGAAACAGAGACCACCTTTTGCCTCCTAGAAAGGTCTAGGCAGCTATAGACCAGTTCACCCTTAGGTGCAGGGAGCAGCTGCTCACTCCAATTCCTGCATTATTAGGACCAGACTTCAGCCAGCTGCCCTCTAGAAGGCTCTAAGATCCTGTTTAATCCTGTGGACAGTCTCTTGTGCTCTGAAGGCCAGCAGGTGCAATGCACCTGCTCCTCGATCTCCTAGACCCACAGGCTTTGCATCACCTGCCCGAGGGTTCTTCCTGCATGCTGCAAGACCTCTGTGCTCTGTGGTGAACTCCACATGGAAAGTGCATGGGGCAGGAGCTGCTGGATGACCTGTCAGGCAGGTGAGACCATCCGCTGTCCCTATAAGCAGCAGTATACCACAGCAATGGCATGGACCTGGCTTTGAACCCTGGCTCCCTCGCAAATTACCGGTGCAATCTCAGACAAGAGACTGTACCTCCGTTTCCTTGCCTGTGGGTTGGGCAATAATGTGACCTACCTGCTAGAGCTGTGCGACACACAACTGAGTTAAGCCACGTACAGCCATGAGAATGTAACCTGCCCTGAATTAACCGCGCTGTTGATTCTTAACAAATCTAGGTCTCTGGGCCCTCCCTGATGGCTAACTTTGAGGCTCCTGCCTGCCAACTGGGCTTTGTGCTGGCACACAGGGCCTTACAGGGATGCCCTTGCAAGGGTTTGTGCAAAGAAGCAAAAACCCCCAAAGCAACAAGAGCCACAGGGATGCAGCTGTGCGGCGGCCGCTAGCAACTCACCTCTGTCCTTGGCCTTCTTTCTTGGGGCGAAGCTCTCATCAAGTCAGCAGGGAACCTCTGATTTCACCTAGAAAAATAAGAGGAGAGTTATGACAGGAAACATAATGGAACTCATCTGCAGGCTTCATACGTGCAGCGGGTGCTACTGAAGGCCACACAGCCCCCGCCAGGGAGTTCAGTGGCTTATTCTTCATCACAGAATAAAGCCACATGAATTCAGAAGAAAAGGGAGAAATTCACGTCTGATGCCAATTGTGGACATGGCAGGCCAATGAATATTTTCAAAGCAATATGTGTATTTATTTATTCATTTATTTATTTTGGTACCAGGGACTGAACCCAGTGGGCATTGAACCACTGAGCCACATCCCCAGCCCTTTTTCAGAATTTTTTTTTTTTTTTTTGAGACTGGGTCTCGCCGAGTTGCTTAGGGCCTACTAAGTGGCTGAGGCTGGCTTTGAACACTTGATCCTCCTGCCTCAGCCTCCCAAGCCTCTGGGATTACTGGCCTGCGCCATTGCACCTGGCTATGTTTTTTTTAAGGTAATAAATCAGACATAGAATACACTCAAAGTAAATGGATATCATATTGGATAGTAACTTTTGTCAAGTTAGAACAAGCTTGAATTTACAATAGACCTTGACTACAAAACAGCTAGGGAGAAGCACTGGGTTCTATCTTTATTGGGCCTTTTATGCAAAGACTCCTATGACACTGTTTTTGTTCGTGCCGATCGTACTGCATGCTTGAATCCATTAAATGGTCTAACACCGTAGGAGCATCTAGCTCCACATCTGGCCCCTATGGTTCATAAATAGGGCATTCCATAAATATCAGTGATACTATTATTGATTAAGCAGTCCTTTGTGGGCTTCTAGAGAGTGAGGCTCTTACAGCAACCACAGAATTCCTGGACAAACCCTCACCGGTATCAGCAGGACCGCATCTGTTGCTGCTGTTAAAATAGAGACTTCATCTTTAAATCCGGCCCCTGTTCAATCTAACTCAGACACCGAGAGAGTAGTATTTCAAAAGGTGTTTAAAGATAATAGCCCTATTCTAAGTGTCCCCATCATTAAGCTCAAAGGAATCACTCTAGACCCTTGGGTTGGCAAATAAAAACACAGAGAAGAAAGAGAAAGGGGAAAAGAAGACTATCAGATTTGAAACAGAAAACTTGTCACCTTCACGCACAAGAGAAAGGATTGTTTGGGTGGTGCTTGGGTTCTCTGCCGAATACACATCACACACCATCACTCAGCGCTCTGAGTTCCTGAGGACAGGGCTGGGCGGTTCTCCACGGCCAACCCATCGGCCCTTGCTCACCAGGGGTCCAGATGGGGGAGGGGGAGGGGGAGGGCCTGCCTGTGACAGGTTTGCTGGGCCTGCCTCCGGCTCCCACGTCCATGAATTTATTTCAGGACTGGCCTTGAGTGCAAGAGGCTCTTGACCACAGGGCAGAGCCACTGGACCACTTTAGCCCTGGTGGGCTGTGCAACGCTGGGATCCACAGGCCGGCTGTTGAAATTTGGATTTCCCCTGGGGGGGAAATGCCAAAGCCACTTCCAGTCAGCTGGGCTTTAGCTCCAGGGAGGTTGGAGCATGCTTTCCACCTGATAAGCTGAGGGTGGGTTGGGCAGGTAGGGGGGTAACTTTGCATAAAGCAGGACTAGGAGAACATGGTGGAATTGGCTTGCTCTCTGTGGAGCTTTCTAGCACTTGCCAGCAGCCCAGTGGAACGGGATGCTGCTGAATTGTGGATTCAGGGGGTGGTGGGGCTGAGAACAGGCGGTGGGTAGCCAGGGCCTAGGGTTGCCCCCTGTTGCATCTTCATTGCCCCTGGGGAACTCAGGGCAGCCAACCCCACATCTCTCTCCAGCCAGAGCCTTCCCCTTGGGGTGGACACAGTCCTCCTCCTCCAGGAGGCCTGGAGATGTGCCCAGGGGACCTGTGGGATGCCAGATGGGGCAGGGACATTGCTCACATCCCAGGAGACAGCAGCCCCCACCCTTTCTGTACTCTGACTCCAGGCACTCCAAGCCCTGGCCCCAAAACGCTCCTCTACGGATCTCTGCATTGAACAGATTGTTTGTTTCGGCTCAGTCCTTAGAACCTGTGGGGTCTCCTTCCCCTTGGCCTTTAGCGTTGGCATGGAGACCCTGGCCTCCCAGGGAGCCTGGCTGCCTACGGATCCCAACTCTCTACCCTGAAGCCCTGGCTGGCCTCAGCCATGGCTGCACACCCACCTACCCAGCATGTAACCCTGCCCTGACTGTCGTCACTGCCCATGACAGCAGGACAGGGAGTGGACAGCATGCCTTCCTAAGCAGGCCAACAGCAGCCTGCCACACCCGCCCAAAGCCAGGCCCCTGCAGGAAGCCAGCCCCTCCCTCCTCCTGCACCTCACACCCCACCAGGCCCTTCCTTCAGGACACCCCCATGCCTGAGCACCATCTGGCGGTTTCTGGCCCAACCACCACCTCAAAGTCACCTCTAACTAAGACAGAAGGACCCACCCTGCTCCTCCTGCACACCTTTGATGGAGGAACCCAGAAATAAAAGCCCCCCCAAGTGAGGACACGAGAAGACACCAGCCCGGAGAATGGTCAGTCCCACAAAATGCCTTTTCCAAAAAGAACCATTATCTCAGTAAGCCACACTGGATCAGAGACCCCGTGTGCAAGAGCAGGGTGGCGAGGGATGGCTTCGACAGCCAGAGACCTTTTTTAGAGCCGTGTCTTTGGCCAGAATGGGGAAATTCTTGGACCTTAGAAATGGGTCCCAATCAGAGGGGAGTGACTACCTTTCTCATGACAAAATAGGCCACAAAGCTCCCAGAAGATTTGTCTCTATTTTCAAGGAGCATTCTAGAAGCTGCCCAAGGCCAACATACCCACTGGCTAGAGATACTTTCCAGGACTCACGAAAATGTTCTCATTTCTTTTAAAAGCAGAACAACTGAGTGGACGTCTAACGCCTAGATCGTGAGGGATCCAGCCTGGCTACTTTTTATCCTGGTATCATCGCGGTCATCAAATAAGGGAAGAAGGGACCTGTGAGGACAGAAATGCCAAAGGCCATGGGCGTCGTAACTTGGACCTGAATCTACCAGCTTTTTTACAATCTCCACACTTGCCAGACTTTACTGAGGCCCCTTGTTGAATGACTCCTCTGTTGCCGCCGCAGAACTTTCCAGAAGACCCCCACTCCAGTTGGGGGACCTGCCCCCGACGGCCTCCCTTGGGTTCCTCCCTTTCACTCTGGGCTGTGTCCAAGGTTCTCCTGCCACCTCCGGCAGGTTCATCTGAGGCCCCGGCGCCCTGGCCCTGTTTCTGGCCAGGCTGTGTGTGCCCCAGAGGCCTCCGCCCCCGCCTGCTCGTGAGAAGCGCCGGCTGGCAGGAGGAGCAGCGACTCCGAGGTCCAAACACAGGCTCTCAGCCCCCTGCAGCATAAACACCGGGCCTGCATCACACCCAGGCCTATAAAAGATAATTATACAATCTGATCTGGCAAATTAGTGCCACCCAACTGTCTAATTCTCACAATGAGTTCGAGGGTTGGATCGGCAGGAAAAATTAATCTGGATCTTTATTGGGATTCGCCCCCAGGTCAGGATTAGGGTTCGTTCATCTCTTTTATTTTCCCGTGGAGGGAGAGTAGAAAGGCCTTCTCCCACCCCACCAGGGCTAGGCGTTCAGGGGGCAATCTGCTCCCTAATTCCTCTGGCCCGACTCTGAGTGCTTACTTAGAGAACATCCCCACCTTCCTCGAACACACCCCTCTTCCTGTTGGCCCCCATCCCCTCCCAGGAGCCAGAGTTTCTAAAGGAGAGGGTCATTATGGGGAGGTAGCACCCAGCTTCCTAGCTTGATAAACGGGCAGATCACTGAAGAATGGTTCCCACAGTGCCCAGGCAGGCTGACAACAGGCAGAGTTATCCTTCATCTAACACAAACAAACACAGAGCAGCCGCCAACCCCACCCCCCCTTTTTTTCAGGGGTTGGGGGATACTTTTCTGGGGGTTCCTAATCTCCCACCCATACTCCTAAATCAGCTCTGAAAAGACCCTAGTCCACAGAGAGGTGTTTAGCATTCACACTGCACTAGGCTACAGAAAATGGAGATCCGTCAGGGAAATCGGATTATGATGTGTGCAGAGGCCCAGAGAACTTTCTCTACACTGCGGGATACTGCAGGATCGACCCATCAAGTTATTTACATGTGCCTCTCTATCAGAGCGACCTGGCTGAAGGAACCAGTGTGCTATTCCAGGCCAGTGCATGTGTGTTGGGTGGGGTGGGGGTGGGAGGATGGGGGTGGGGGGTGACTACAGCATTTGGCTTTCAAACACGGCATGAGAACCATGCTTCCCCACTTCAGAGCAGGGCTCACTGTATGTGGGCAACCTAACACATGTATGGGTATTGTGTGTGTGGGTGTGTGTGTGTGGGTGTGTGTCCCCACGTGCAAATAGTTTTTCCTAGGACAAATGTCTTATTGGAAAAGCAAATAGTTTTAAATAACTGCCTCTATCTTAAAGTGGTGAAAATGCTCCCGTTGCCTCCTGCATAAGGATACTGGGCGACCCGCTTGGGAGTGTGAAGAGGAACCCACACACATATTGTCAGCCGGATTGCAATCTTGTGGAGTTCTAGCCAAATCTCAGGCTTTAGTTCCAAAATGGTTGAGACAAGTGTGCACTTTCTGGAAGCAGATAACACCACTCCCGTCCTCCCAGACGGTGGAGTCTTAGCTGGAGGAGGACGCAGCACAGAAAAATACCCTGAGCAGGAATCCAGTGATCCGAGCTTCTTTCTGAAGACAGATCTGCTGTCGGCATGAGCAGAAAGCCCGGAAGACAGACCTGAGAACACCAGAGAGCCAGGAAAAGTACTGTAGACACTGGGAAAAAATCCTCAACACACTGAGATGGCTTCAAATACAGGCACCCACCTAGGTGTTCCAGGGGCAGGGAGTCGAGTGTCCTTTTTCTCAATTGAAAAATGGGGAGGGCAGCAGTGACCACTTCTTGCCCCTTCTAAGAACTCTGCCATCAAAGCTGGGG